GGAGCGAGATGAAATGGTTTCCAGCCTTAGAAAACCATAAGGGGCAGTCCCATAGGGTCACTGTAAGTCAGAATCTACTCATGTTACTGCATTTGGGTTTTAGAAGCGTGTATTAAAGTATATGTATAAGTTTCTATATAATGTTTCCAGCCTCTGACTATTAATAAGGTCAGACTTAAAAAGATACTGACAAAAGGCAAAATGTGAAACAAACAGCAAAGAACTATTCAACTTACATCGGAACTGATGTATGATCGCATCAGAAGAGTACCATAAGTTGAGGACAAGTTTATCCTATTTTCCAAAAATTAAGGTTTTGAGTTAGAAGACTAAAAGTGAAGTCAAAGGCTGTCTTCAATAAGCAGGTGTAATATATTTGAACATGTCAGCCATGGGCTAGGTGGAGCCAGACAATAAGGACGTGTCAGCAAACACAGGGTGTGTCATTTTCTGATCCCATGAATTTAAACTACTAAGCAAAATAAACACAGCTCTTCTCCTCTTCAAAGCACTTTAAAAAAGAAAACAGAATTAAGTGCCATAATACTAGGGTGATTTCCATTTTGCTGATGAAGAAACTGATGAGAAAGCCTCTCTTCATAAGGCCAAAGATGAACTTGGACAATGTAGGGATTAGAGGAAGGGCTCTTTGCCCTGACTTTACCAGGGCTCCTCGCTCCCTGGATCTCTCAAAGTGGTCCTGGTGAGTCAACAGAGAGCGAGAATCTGGTTGCCACATGCATGTAAATGAGCTTGGATTTTCCTGGAGCCCAGAACTGATGATTCAGTTTGAGTAATGTACAGTCTCAGGATAACACAGATGAACACAAGTAAAAGCCTGATTGGACCAATAGATGCTTTAAAATATTTGCAGTGCCAGTTGAGAAAAATTCAAAACACGGTAATAAAAGGAAAGCTGATCTGTTTGGAGCACTGTTCAGGAAGTTCAAGGTTACAGTGTTGAAATTTGTCTCCATGATGAAAGCTGTCAAGTCTGAAAAATACACCCAGTTTTAGACAACTTTCTGAAGCAACTTTTCTGACTTGATCGATTAGAGTGGTTCTTTTTTGCTGCTCATTTGCAACATGGAAATAAAATGGCCTAAGGTTCTCCCTACACATTTTGAGTTGGATTGTTTTCCTTTCTCTTACAAAGCCGTGATTAAAAAAAATAGACTAGAGTTTGTAGCTGTTCAGCATCAGAAATATGTATGCAGCTATAAAAATTTCTACCACCGCAGCCACTTAAAGTGCACATGAATAAATGGCTTCATCCAAATACTACCTCTTGGTCTCAACCTTCGGCAACCCACCCACCCCACAAACCATGCATGGATATGGTATTAATTATATTTCAGCCAGAAACAAGTGAAAATTTTCCCTGGAGTCTAAAAGAGCTGAGTATTTTGCTTGGCGTAGTTTGGAATAAGGTATCTTCGAAGTAACATAGACCAGTTCCCATATAAATGCCATACCCAACTGCAGAGAGGAGAATTATCCATTAAGTAAATCATGGACACTGTTTACATTTCTCTGGCTATATTATCTAACAATAATTTTATTTTTCTGAAAAAACCCCAAACACTGTTGATTTCCAGAAGAAAGATCATTGAGGTTGCTCTAAATGTTGCAATCTGTAAGGTTTTCCAAATTAACAACCAGAAGCTTGTCAGAACCAAGTCAGTATGACACTGCTAAACATTATGAAATGTAAAGAATAGAGTTGTCACATCATGATTTTCCCATGGTTGATTAAAAAAATGGAAATATCATTATGAAACAAATGAGAAGTTTTCCTAGTTAGAAGTTGTTCTCACTACTTTTTGCTGCTGCTCTTAGATAACATTTAGCTTCGATGCTGGTGCTTCTATTCTGCCACGTGCAGATTTTCCCAGAGGAAGGAGGAAGGCGTTGTGAGGGAGCTTTCTTACACAGGACGCGCGGCGCATAGAGGGCTGCAGCGTCGCAGCTGTGAACACACTGGGGACTCTCCAGAATAAGCTATCATTGTTTCTCCCAGGCCTTGTCCC